TTATTTGCTGTGTTGGCTGAGTGTGACCTTGGGTCTGACTAACAAAAGAGTTAAAATAACTTGAAGTTTGGATTGTCTCACAGAAGAGCAATTATTGCTCTCTGAGAGGAGGAAGCTAGCTAATAGAGGAGGACCAGATGAAGGCGGCAGCTCAGCGGAGAAAGCAACCCAGCCACGTGGGACATCAGCAGTGCTGGGAAAGACAAGGACCAGGAACAGTGGTTTAGAGGCTGAGAGCTGTTCCAGCGGGCATGCAATCTTAGGAGGATTAGTTGTTGGGGGTAAAGGTATCTCCTCTTCGACTTATGTTGTGGGAATCAGTGAGAAGTTGTGCATTTGGGGGAAATTTACCTTTTTACTTATTTTGCTGTTCTCTTTGTTTAAATGCCTTTTGCTTTGAATTAATGATAGATTGGCCCAGGAAAAGTCAGACATTAGGTAGAGACTCATGAAATGAAACTGGATGTAGCTGAGAGGCACCTAGTCTATGTTCACATTGTTCTTTTGATTCTGCTCTGTTAATTCTGCATTACTCCATAGCACATATTCTGAAGAGTGGCTGTAGGTTAGGGATTAGTTTTCTAAGGCCACATAGTTCACAAACTGTTCCCCCCAAGCCTCCCTGCACCTGCACTAGTGTGCTTTCCCCCAGAATCATCAGTTGATGTATTAGTCAACCAGACTGAATTAGTTTTTATGAAGGGGTATACACATGGGTCTTAATTCCAGTGCCTTCCCTCTGTAAATTATTTTCTCTTTATCCTATAGGACAAAGCTTGCTTTGTGTATATTTGCTTGCAATGTTGTTTCCTCCATTAGACTGTGAACTTCTTGAGGGCATGGACTGTCTTTACTTCTCTTTATATCTCTGTCATTTAGTACAGTGGCTGGCATACAGTAGGCACTTAATAAATGTTGATTGATTGGCGGCCAGGAAAAGACATTTAAGTAGTCCAGTTACAGGTATGGTGAATGATACTACAGGAAAGTAAAATAACATACCTTCCCAGGAGTAATGGCAAAGTCGATTTCAGATGGAGAAGGGCTAGCTAGAGTGATTTTGAAAAGAGATGACCAGGAGTGGCTGAAACTTCCCTAAAATAATAGGCCCCGTAAGGTACACACCAATCAGGACAGCAAGGTCCCAGGGCAGGGGTTCCAGATAATGAGAAAATGTCCAGGGAGTACAGAATGTTTATATAATAATAGCTAATATCTACATGGTACCTATTATGTGCTAGGCACTGTGCTAAGTGCTTTTACAGATATTATCTCATTATTTCCTCTAATTTTATTATTATTTAAAATATTATCATATTATCTCAATATTACCTTATTCTTAAAACAACTCTGGGTGGTAGGTGCTATTATTTTCTCCATTTTACAGATGAGGAAACTGAGACAAACAAAGGTTAAATGACTTGCCCAAGGCACACAGCTAGTAAATATCTAAGGTTGGATTTGAACTCAGGTCTTCCTGATTCAAGGCGCTCCATGACACCTAATTGCCCCTTACATGGAGAAACCTATTTAGTCAATAGTCAGTAATAGGGTGACAGCAAAAGGAAAAAAATAAGAGTAGTTGAACAGCCCTGCTCAGTATCCCACCCCATCAGCTGTTACAATGAATAGGAATTGTTCATTCTCATAATTGTTTATAGTATAGTTACACCAGATATTCATGTAACTCAATTTGTTCAGCTATTCCCCAATCATTTGACTCATGCTTTGTTTCTAACTTTCAGCTATTAGAAATAGCATTGATATGAATATGTTTATACATGTATGTTTTTTTCTTATTATCAATAACCTCCTTGGGAGATAAATGATATTGGTGGGACAATGGGTATGAAAAGTTTCTATAATTTCGTTTGCATAAGTCAAAATTATTTTCAAAGGAGTTGGCTCATTTCATACTTTTATTAATAGTGAATTAGCATTCTTGTTTTCCAGTATCCAACCAATACCATCTTTGACATTCTCATGAATGTGATGTTATTATTCATGGTTGTTTTAAATTTTATTTCTCTATCAGTTATCAATAATAGCTAATTATTAATAACAAAAAAGTAATAATTATTTTTAAATGTTTCAAATTGTTATTAGTAGTTTATATTTCTTCATTTGAAGACTGTTCATATCCTTTGACCATTTATCTCTGAAGAATGGCAGATTTTAGATATTAGACTTTTAAAATAAGAAACATTACATGAAAAAAAAAAGAAACATTACATGCAAAGATTCTTTTCCCCATCCACATTGTTGTTTCTTATTCTAGCTGTATTTATTTTATTTGAATACTTGGTCAAAAGGACTATGTCTATCTCAGCAGGTCTAAAATGTCCAAAGTAGGTCATGGGTATTAAAGAAGGGGTGAATACAGCTCCCCTGGGAGTGCCCGGACCCAAGAGGTACTCTAGCAGTCTCTGTTCCCCTCAGGACAAACTCAAACCTCTTCACTGCTCACTGGATACCTGCCATAGGGAGCAACTACAAAATACCAGAGCACCCTAACTATGCATGTCCGCTGTGAAAAAGCTTACACAGGAGAAGAAAAGGCAATACTGGCAGGACACGCTGAAAGTCCTGAAAGTTGTTCTCAGGATGATCAGTAACATGGGTGGATTCCGAGAGGCTAGAGTTTGGAGACTCCTCGATACCTAAGGAATGAAAAGATTGGCTGAGAAAGAAACTCGGGGGGCAGCTAGGTGGTGCAGTGTATACAGCTCCGGCTTTGGAGTCAGGAGGACCTGAGTTCAAATCTAGCCTCAGACACTTGACACTTCCTAAATGTGTGACCCTGGGCAAGTCACTTAACCCTGATTGCCTCACCAAATATATATGTGTGTGTGTGTGTGTGTGTGTGTGTGTGTGTGTGT